TCATTGAAAAAAAGACAAAGATGGAAGAGAGTGTTGATCACGCAGTGTGTTTGTGTGTGTGTGTGTGTGTGTGTGTGCGTTTGTGTGTGTGTGTGTTTGTGTGTGTGTGTGTGTTTGTGTGTGTGTGTGTGTATGCAGCAGACATGAAACCAGATCAGAGAGTATAAAATACACAGCAGGGTGTGAGTGATTTTGTCCTGCACAACCCTCCGTACACTCATCTTTCTTCAATACAACACAGCTAGGGAGATGAGAATTAAGGTGCAAAGTTGTTCTCCCTCTCCTGATCCATCTCAATCTTTCTTTGTGGGTCAATTCTGTCCGTCTCACACACAGAAGAAATCCATCTGCTCTCCTCCCTCCATCACCTCCGTCTCCTTTATCCTGGTATTTGAGAGCTCTTTTTCGGCTTCTCTGCCTCAGTCACTTCTCATTTTATTTTAGCCTGGACCAGTGACCACTCACCACCACCCGCCCCCTCCTAATTAATACTCTCATCACGTTTACTTTCAGGTCCACTGATTTTAATACTTATTATTATGACCCTATGAAGTATTGTTCACTCAATCTAAATGTCTGAGAACAGTATTACTTCATTTGGAACCCAAGGACCGACAGTCGTCTCACACATGCATCCAAACATAAAAAAACAACTGTTTTTAACAACAGAACGTGTAAACAAAAGTCCGGCTGAGAATCCAACATTTTTCAGTCAGTTCATCTGGACAGTTTCTTTTTTTGTGCTGAAACGTTTCGCCTTCGATCCAGAAGGCTTCATCAGTCAAGGAAACACACAGCACAACTGATTCTTCACCCAACAGCTTACTCCAAAGTGGAACAAACCAGTTATGTTGGTGCTAAGATGGTCCCTTTGTCACAAGCCCCTCCTCCATTGCCGGCCCTCTTCCTTGTTGACAGTCGTGTCAAACTGGTTGAAAACAACAAAGTCCATGCTCAATAATCCAGATATACAATCCAACATTTTTCAGTCAGGTCATCTTGACAGTTTCTTAGCACCAACATAACTGGTTTGTTCCACTTTGGAGTAAGCTGTTGGGGGAAGAATCAGTTTTGTGTTGTGTGTTTCCGTGACTGATGAAGCCTTCTGGATCGAAGGTGAAACGTTTCAGCACAAAAAAAGAAGTTTGATAGGCTGATTGGTAACTCTAAACCCTCCCTAGGTGTGAGTGAGTGAATGTTTGTCTCTATGTGTCCCTGTGATGGACTGGAGACCTGTCCAGTGTGTCCCCTGCCTCTCCCACATTGACAGCTGGATATGGGCACCAGTGACCCCTGTGACCCAAAAAAAAGGAAGAAGGGGGTAAAGATAATGGATAGATGTCTGTTTACAAGATATTTTACTAATGAAACAAACACACACAAACATGATGAAAAATAGAATCATCCTTCAGCAGCAGGTGATGAAGATTTATACCAAGCAAGATATGTGGACAGGGTTTGTTTGGTACTGAAAGAGTACTTTGACGTTTGAAGCTGAGAAGAGATTATCCAAACGTCATGAAGTAGGATGACGTCCATCCTTTTGTCAGAAATCTTGCAAAATATAAACAAACTGATGTTGTAAATGTTAACAGTTGTTTGGTGTGTCTGAGTCACATTAACATGAGGTCATCACAACAAGAGCAGAACTGGTAGCTTCATTCTGTTTTAGAAAAACTCTGATTTTTATATTTTAATATAAACAAGTGTGGCACATCTGCCATGTTTGTCACCAAAACAAGAAACTAACTTTCTTGACCACACAGACAGAGATGACTACATCCTGCCCACAAGTTTGAAATACGGGTCATTTGTCTGCAGGAAGCAGCTACGTTCAGTCAAGAACGTTGCTCCTTTACAACAGATGTTCACTGCTCAGAAGAAAGTCTTTGATGATTAAAACCTGCTCATAGAGGCTGTTTTAGCGTTTCACCACCTAGCTTGTGCTAACATCTGCTCATAGCTCGACAGCTTCTGCACATCACACACAAATGAGCTGTTGAGCCCCTATTTGCACATAATCAGGACTGGTCCTTTCAATCATCTTCCTAATCATCCAGGTCTCTATAAATCTACACAGCTTCCACGCCTTAACATGAGGACAGAGTAGAGAATGAATGAACTGAGGTTAAATTAAGGCTTTGGCATGTGCTGTATGTGGTTAATGTGTGGGTTAGCATTTAAGTGAGGCTGCTTCGAATAATCTGAACCTAATGCAACAGTGTGCAGTTCTATAAGGCTGCTCTGATTCTAACTGTCAGTGGTAGTAGCTGAGCCTAATCCTAAACATGACAGAGGATTAAGCTGGATTAGTTCAAATCAGCCCAGCACGCTTCCTGTTTTTTAAGCTGTATTTTGATACCCAGATCACCGTGGTGTCATGAGCGGGTCCAGAGATCTGGCTTGATTTGTCTTGCGAGTAGCAATAACCCCTGAAAAATCCTACATTTAAGGTATTCTTTCTTTTTTCCATTTAAGGTATTCTAATGAGGACTTCTTGGTGTCATTTGAAAGAAGAAACCTCAAGCTAAATTTAGATAGTGGGATTTCCCAACTGGAAGAGAAAAGCTGTGCTGGCTTGCAAGGAAAATGGCAATATTTGAAGGATGGTCTGCTCAAAATCATTGTTGTTGGTACTGCTTAGAAAAGTGCTTCAAAATAGTCTTTGGGTTAAGTTTTGTACTTTTGATGCAAGGGAGTCATAGAAGTATGTATTTATTCATCAGATTTTGACTAAATGCAAATATTGCACATTCTTCAACTGATGCACCAGTTTGTGACTTAATCCTTGGTTCGACATGACGGCTCATAACTACTCGACACATCACAAGAAGGCAAAACGCCATTTACTAAAACTGACCACAACTCTGTCATTTCTCATCACAAGATGATTCCTGGCATGAAAGCTGTGGGAGACATGCAGTTCTTCAAAGAATGCTGGGATTTTACATTGTTTGTGCATTCATATGTATGTGAAAATAATATATATATATATGAATCAGAGCCTCTGAAATGCTTACAACACCATGACACCTGTTCAGTGATCTGATAGGTAATCATGTGCAAATCATGTGTTTGTGAAATGTTATTAAAATGTGTTAAAATCGTATAAATATGAGTGAACAGGACTGAGTGATGAGGGTCACGACGAAGAAATTGATTCATAATTTATCTGACGTGCAGCAAGAGCTAAATAAATCTTAAAAGGCTTGACATTTTCAAACCGGCTTTAGAAAAAACAAAGAATGTGCATTTGGGCGACAGTGAAGACAAATGGGATGAGTGTGCGTGCACGTTTGAGGGTGCAAATGTATGAGAGATGTCCTGTGGTGAATCATAGAACAATATGTATTTTGTGTTTATAATAATTATTATAAGCTGTGTGTTAATCACCAAAGGGAGAAGTGAGTGTGTGTGTGTGGAGGGTAATTATTGATCAGATCATCCAGTTGAAATGAGCTCTGCTCCTGAAATAAAGGGGAGAAGAAACGCGCACGGCAGCGAGTGACAGATTAAAGGAGCTTGTTTAGAAAAGAGGAGGAAACGCAGCTCAGTGACTTCATTGAGTCTGCAGAGATTGTTTGGTCGATTGTTCGCTCTCCTCTCAGTCCACTCCTGCCTTCTGCTCATTTGTTTACCATTTTTATTCACGCCCTCAATTGTGCATTCATGCGTATTCCTGTTTTAATCCATCATCTTGTGCGCTCGTGCTTTTGATGATTCACCTGCACGTCGGTCGAACATTATGGATTAATTATGCGTGATTTTTCAAATGGGATGAAAAATGAAGTGCTGACACCAGAGGTGGGTTTCACGCATGTGTTGTTTAGGTGTATGAAAACAAGCAGAACGCCCTCCTTTGTGAAAAGTGCTTCAGCTGCTTTCGGAGGACGAGGTCAGTCCTCATCAGTCCTAACGTAACAATTCAAAATCATTTAGCCTAATGGTCCAACAAAATGTCCAGCAAAGGCTCAAATGTGATCAAAGCTAATTACTGAAAGGGCTTGGGCTCATGGTTAACATAACTATCATGCTCACTGCACCATTATGTGTCCAGAATATGAACAATGGTCGAGACTGTTACTGTTATTGCTGTGTAAGTTTCACGCTGATAACTTGGTACTTGTAGGCTCAAGCAACTCCTCTAAGATCTGGATGTAAAGTTGTAGTTGAATAAGTACATCGTCTTTCACTGGTGAAAAACATGGAGGGAATACAAACTCATCATGTGTTTTGTGTCATTTTTATCATCATACCATGTATGTACTGTTCTGGCCCAAGGCTTTCCTCTTGGCCTCTCCAACATGTCTGTGTTTCAGAGCTCCTAACTGGTGTTGACTGGAAGTGCAGGCAGCTGGCCAGTGTCTCCAGAAGAGCTTCAGATCCAGCTTGCTCTCGTTTCTCCCTTCTCTCCCTTCTTGACCTCTTTTCTCCAGCCAGCCATGATTTTTGTTAAATAAATATCATTTTTAAGTTATCCATGCGTTGCTTCCCCTTTATTTGTTATGGTCCTAGAGCCTGACCGTAACGGTACATGTCATATAATGTAACCAAACAAGTCTAACTTTAATATTACACCAACACTTATTCAGCAGAAATGAGATTAAATGCAGAAATACTGCATAAAGCAACAAACTGAACATTTTATTGAATTCAAAAATGTTTGACTTGTTGGTTCTGAGAAGACTTTTTCATTGCAAGTTGTTCTATTCAACTGAACTGACCTGACGACTGATGATCACTCACCTCTGGTAATAAAAACCCAAAGTACACTTTGTATTACTTTATTATGTAGTTTTAGAGGACTCTTGTTTCCTTTTTAACATTTCTCAAGTTTAAGGTGTGAGCATTTCTTTGTGCACGACTTTTTAATGTTCCACCACATCATCGCAGTCTTGATTACAACCATTACAGCGCCTTGATTCTTTCATTCTGCTGTACATCTGTTGCTCTGCTTAGATCACTGTCCTGTTGGCCTGCTATTCATTCAACCTTTATTTAGAAAGGTTAATCCCATTGAGCCTGGAGGACTCATTTACAAGAGAGGCCTGTTAGTCCTGTTATCAAACAGATGACCTCTTATTTGACTCTAAAATAGGGCGATTCAAATGCAGTTGCACATGGGGCATAAAGAAAAACCACTGTGGGTTTGAGGACCAGTTGCAATACATTGGAAAACTTTTTAGTAACTGCAACTTAACAAAGAGCAGCAATTATTCTGTCTCCCAAAGTTTTAGGTGTCCTAAAAAACTTGACTTTGTTTGGTTAATGTCCAAGCCACTCACAGGAATGTTATCCCAGACTTGTTAAAAAAAAGATTTGAACAGCTCCTTATTTTAAATCCGTATATTCATAACTCTCTTTAAAAAAATTAAAAAATCTTAAAAAAGAAGGGCATGATTAGGTTTGTACTGCCTTTCATGTTGTATCATTTAATAACAGCAAACCTCCATTAAATACTAGTTGCTGTTAATAAAATGAACAAATAAACTTTTCAGTCACTTTAAAACAACCAGTATCCTAAATCTACTTTCCATCTTTTTGGCTTTGAAAGAAACATCTTGACATTTGTAGTGAGCTTAGCTGCTGTTGTCTTCGGTCAGTCCTGGAGTCTTAATGCTTTTACCACAGATGAAATGGATGGATCAATCAGATAACTGTGCACGGGTACTTATGTACCTATACAATTCTGTTCAGAACTTTTATGGATAGAATTTCTCGGTGCAGCCAGGGGGCAGAGGGAGTCCGGTTCAGTGGCCTCAGGATTCCATCTCTGCTCTTTGCAGATGATGTGGTCCTGTTGGTGTTATAGTGTCGTGATCTTCAGCTTTCACTGGAGCTGAGTGTGAATCGGCTGGGATGAGAATCAGCACCTCCAAATCTGAGGCCATGGACCTCAGTCAGAAAAGGGTGGGTTGCGCTCTTCAGGTCGAGGGTGAGGTTCTGCCTCAAGTGGAGGAGTTCAAGTATCTCAGGGTTGTGTTCATGAGCGAGGGAAGAATGGAACGTGAGATTGACAGATGGATTGGTGCAGCGTCTGCAGTATTGCGTACTCTGTGCTGGTCCATTGTGGTGGAGAAGGAACTTAGCTGTAAGGCGAAGCTCTCTTTACTGGTCGGTCTACGTTCCTTCCCTCACCTATGGTCACAAATTCTGGGTAGTGACCAAAAGAACAAGACTGTGGATACAGGCAGTTGAAATGAATTTCCTCTGCAGGGTAGCTGGACACTCCCTTAGAGATAGGGTGAGAAGTTCAGTCACCTGGGAGAGACTCAGAGTAGAATCACTGCTCCTCCACATCGAGAGAAGCCAGTTGAGGTGGTTCAGGCATCTGGTAAGGATGCTTCCTGAGTGCATCTCTAGGGAGGTGCTTCAGGCATGTCCGTCTGGGAGAAGACCTCAGGAAAGACCCAGGACACGCTGAAGAGACTATGTCTCTTATTTGGCCTGGGAACACCTTGAGGTCCTCCCAGAAGAGCTGGAATGGGTGGCTGTGGAAAGAGATGTCCGGACGTCCCTGATCAAGCTGCTGCCCCCATGACCAGACTTCAGAACAAGTGGAAGATAAAGATGTATGGATGGACAGACGGACGGACGGACGGACGGACGGACGGATGAACGGATGGACGGATGGTAATTATGTTTACCTACACCACCCTTCTCTGTTGTTATGGTTAACCAAAGACTGTTCATTTGACTTCTACTAGATTAAGCTATGGAAGTAGTTCTAATATGGTTTGAATATTTTTAGCATTATATTCAGACAAACCAGTTTGAGATTCTGTCAGCTTTGCAAAGGCCCTTTTGGTTTAGTTTTATAGAAAGAAAAAAAAAACATTGCATCTGGTCTGCAGGCAACTTGTTGACTAGACCCGCTCTAAAGCAACTGCTATACAGGGTATTGTGGTCAACTCAGTGACTACAATAAATCCATGTCTTATGGAAGCAAAACAATCCCAAATCATCCAACCCCACCACTTAGCTTTACGGTTTGTTAGAGGTTGTGCTGAAATGAGTACTGTATTCTGCCAAACGACACTGGTCTCAGGAGATCACATTGTCTCACAGAAGTCTTGTGATTTGTTAGGATGTTACATTGCAAGCCTAGGCTGTGCAGCCATGTTTTTCTGTTTTAGACTGGCAACTCTACCAAACAAGTTATACTTGGTTCTTGGGCTTGTTGTAATTTTCCTGAGCATTCTACAGTCTGACCTCAGAGTATATGTAGTATTTCCAGAATTACACTAGATATAAACTAATCAACCTTTCGGTTTTAACATGGATGACTCAATGATTCAATGATTGTGACACAAACAAATGTAACAGAAACTTAGTACGAAAAAAATAGTACGGAAAAAAACCTGAGTGAGATCTTGCATATAAAGCACTCCCACCTGCACTGCACTCCCACACTACAATTATGACCGTGACACACCTTTAGAGTTGTTATCGTCAGTAACTGGGGACTTTGGGTCAACTTTTGGGGACTCTGTAGTGGATATTTTCTCCTTGGTCTGTTGTTTACTTGTGCGCCATGACAGGAAAACTTAGAGGGAAGTGAGCCGGTGTTTTGTGCAAGACCCACCAGAGACGCAACAAAACCCCTCTCCCCTCAGTCCTGCTTTCAGGTGTTCAGTCTCTGAGGAATAAATTGAATGACCTGTGTGCACGGATTTATTGCGAGTGGGACATGAGGAGCTGTTGTGTCTTTGCCTTTATGGAATCATGGCTGGAACTGGTCATCCCCGACTGTGCTGTGGCTCCGGACGACTTCTCTGTCTACCGGCTTGACAGAACTGAGTCACATCTGTAACACCTAATGTGTTTATTGATGTTGCAGGATGTGGCTGTATCATGTGTGTTGCTGCGTTGCCATCATGGTTCAGTTCATCTCAATGTTGCTCACTGTCTGTGCAGTGGCCCGTCACACAACCTGTGTGGTGTATGTTGTGTGCAACATGTATCATGTGCATTTAGCAGTGTTACTGTGAAGTGCGTGTTGGTACTGATTCATCCTACTTGCACTGTTGTATTCTATCATGTTGTTTACTGTATTTGGTTTGGACCTTGTAGAAGTTGTATTTCTTTTTCACTTTTTGGTGCTTTGTTTTGTACTTTTGTCGCATGCTTTGGTATTTCTTGTTTTGTTTTGCTTTTTGGCAAGTCGAGACATTCTTCTCATCATGAGCATTTTGTTGCATTGTTGACCTGCATATGGCATATAAACAAACTAAAAATAAAGCTAAAGTGACATTTGACCACTAAGTTCAAGCACACTTTTGTATAAGGCTGTCCTTCTCAAATAGTGGGGTGCGCCCCCCTGGGGGGGCCCGGGGCAATGCCAGGGGGGCACATGTGACCCAAGAAAACATGCTGTTTTTGCTGCAGGGAGTTTTTTTTTTTTAACCATTCTCATTTAGTCGCGTGCATTCCTAATAATAACGTATGAACAAATATGGCTGCCTTGTGGTTTTGGGAGCCATGCATGAACTGTGTCTCTCTGCTCTGCTGCTGACATGATAAATAAACTCGGACCGTCACCTCCTCCGTCCTCCGCTGCTGTTATGGTCCATGCGCTCTGGACGTCACTCACAGCGCTCATGCAACAAAGAGTAAACTCAAAGCAAGAGCGACACCTGCCCCTCTTTCTTCTTCTGCGTTGACAAAATGTTTTAGTTTTATCGATGAGTTTGTCAAAGCACAATTTACAGAAGTAATGTTTAATAAATGTTAGGACTCTATTGTTTGCTACCAAATATATTCACCTCCTCAGTGAAGCTGCTGTTTTTATGACGCTCTGGACGCTTGTCACCCACAGCACGCAGGTGACAAAGAGTAAACTCAAAGCGAGAGGGTTACCTGCTCCTCTTTCTTCTTTCATGGTGACAATATTTTTTTGTTTTATCGATGAGTGTGTTCATTGATCCTGACTTCGCAGCAGAGAGGGTTTTTTTGTGAGGGGTGGGGCGCAAAACGTTTACTTCTTTCTGGGGGGGGGGGCATAACAGAAAATAAGTGAGAAGCACTGGAAGCACTGGTATAAGGGAAAGTAAGTAGCTCCTGCTAATTTTGAATCTTAATTCTTGCCTATTAAAGAATGTTCTGGAAAGCAGATATAGCTAATTTCTCA